TTTAAGATTTGTGGTATTTTGGTACTTTAATAAAAATTAGATGGCATTTGGTGAATTTTTTGTATAAGTTTATGGGTACTTTTTGACCCTTAATTTTTTTTAATTAGAGGTATTTTGGTATTTTCATTAAAAAAAAGGATCCCACAAACAAAAAAACGGACGTTAGTTAATTTTAGCAGTGCTAGCATTATTAATAACTTTATTATATAAATTAATATAATGAACAAATAATTGTATTATATATACACAATATATTAAAGATGTAATATTTGATAAAAATTCAAAATCGACAAATGAATTTATTTGAACACCTCCATTTATGATTATTGACTAAACTAGTGTTGAAGAGAATTTTGAGTTTTAACAAGGATAGAATGAAATTTGATCAAGATATAGATTGATTTCGACATTCAATACAAAGACAAATGGCACATATATACAAAGGTTTTTAAGAAAAAAATTATGTAGCATACATGCATAAATAGGAGAAGGGTGCTTACTTTAATTATTCAAATCATTTAATTTTTTATATAGAATAATTAATTAGATTTTTCACTAACTATAAATGGTTTTCTCCAAATAAATAAAAAGCACATATACAATATAATGCAATATAATACATATATATAATTAAATTTTATCTATTCAACGTTATTTAAAAATAAATTATATTAGCAAAAAATTATTTACAATATAAAATTCTAAATTTGTTTCATGTAAAATTAATATTATATTTAAAATCATTTCTGAGTGGAATAAAATATTATAAAATAAATACCAATATAAATATTTAAAAACTATTTTTTCATATCAATAATTAAATTAAAATTATTATATTTTATTTTTATTTTTAATAATATGATTGTTCGAAAAAAAAAGAATATGACATATATTTAATTTTGTGTTAAAAGATTGCGATTTCTTTGGAGCTGAAGCTAAAGTGGCAAATACTCAGGCTTGCACGGTCCACTTGAGGTGAGGGTTAGCTGTAATTGGAGTAATAGATATAGTGAACCCTCTGCACCTATTTAATATCTAAAAGCTCCTAAAACATTATGAAATTTTATTAAATCCTTTGGGTCAAAGTGAAATTAAAATTTTCTTATGTATTATTGTTAATTTCCTTATATTTTTTATAAAAGTAAAATTCCTAATAAAGATACTTAAATAGTCTAAATTTTTATTTGAATCATTAAATTTGTTAAGCTCCTAATCAAGTCACATGACTCAAAGAGAGATATTATAATTTTATGAAATGACTCTAATATTATTTTCATCAGAAACCAGAAAAAATTCTAAATGAACATGTTTCATTTTACAATTAACATGTTTCAATTCTAAATTAATAATCTATTGCCTCCATAATATACTTGCAGTAAGCCTTTGGATAAAACTTATTAATCATAATAAAATCTTAAAAATTAATAAGTTTAATTATGCAGTTAACAAGTTTCAATTTTAAATTAATAGCCTTATGTCTCCAAAATACATTTGCAATAAGTCTCTGAATAAAACTTAATCATAATACAACTTTAAAAATTAATATATTTTATTTCATAATATAATATTTTAATTCTAAGTTCATAATTTTCTATCACCATAACACTTGAAATAAATCTTTAAATAAAACTTGATCATAATATAACATTAAAAATTAATATTTCATTTCACAGTTAATATATTCCAATTCTAAATTAATGACTTTCTGTCTCTTTAACACACTTATGATACTATGAACAAAATTTTATAACAATACAACTTTAAAAATCAACATTTTTTATTTCACAATTAACACGTTTCGGTTGCAAATTAATAACTTTATATTTTCATAACATACTTATAGAATTGAGGAAGAAATATTTTAATATAAAAACTAACCTATCATTGCGTTCTTGATTGATTCTTTGGCTTTGCAATGGTATATGCTAAATTTTCCTTGTTAAGAGCTCTTAGACAATGCAAGAATGATAGAAAATCTTCATCTCTATAGGCTTCTAATGAAAGGGGTATTATAGTCATTTCATAAAATTTTAAAATCGTTTTTTGGTTCATGTGACCTATTAGCCTCATCGTAAAGAAGACGGAGGAAAGGAAAGAAGTGGAATCTGACAGTGACCCAAATAAAAGTTTGACTTATTTAAGTGTCTTTTTAACGGATTTTTTTATTTTATAAATTGTCTAATTTTCATTGTAAACCTACATATATCTCTTGTAAATCGGTGGTGGGTGATTCTTTTCCCCCAAAAAAGAAAAGGTAACGGTACAAATGTCTTTTCATGCATAAAATTTAATTTCATTTTGGTTAAAGGGTATAGTAAAATTACATAATGTTTCGAGAGTTTTTGGATGCATGTTAATTAAACAGGTATAGACGTGTGCAGTGAAATTCTTCCTAATTTTATCCTCAGATTTTACTTAGATATTGCTTCTTTTTTTTTTGAAACAATCGACCTTGCTTTAATTGAATCTGTTTCATTTTCCGGTTTTAGTCTGCATGCTCTTTCTATTTCACACATGATAAGATATAAATGCTTTTGTCTTCTTAAAAAAAAAAAAAAAAATCCTTTTTACTGATCCCGGGCACTGATTATTTATAATTATTTGATAATTTCTTTTCTTGTGTGGTAGATAATATGTTTAGAACATTTCTTGGTCTTTCACATGGCATGATCTAAACCATCCCTACAAATCCAATATAATATAATTTATGAGTAATGAATAATATGACTTGTTTACCTCATTATATATATATATTTATATATTGATCGCACAATTCATTGGGCCCAAAACAGAGGTTTTTGTAACGAATGTAAAAGTCTATAGTAGTCCAAATAACACGTTATGCGTGACAGCTGTTTTTCTTTATTACGAAAGTCTAAGAGTAGTCGTCGCTCAACTTTTTACTTTGTGGCTTTTGGTATCTTCACCGACTTCACATCCATTCAAAGTCTTCCAAGTCAACCTTCGCGCGTATAGCCCACAAATAACCCCACAAACAAACTAGCAGCAAATTTTGACTTTATCTCTCTTTAATGTCCGTATGTTTGGTATGAGGACAAGGAAAGGGAGAGGAGAAAAATTTTTAATAGGCTTAATTTAAAAGTTGAAAAAATAGAGTCAAAAACTTTTAATTAATTTTTTTTATTCTTTTATCTTATTTTTTATCAAATTTTTATAACCCCATTTTCTCAATTTGTAAAATCGATCTTATTAAAAAATTTTCTGCCGTTCCGTCCATTCCCGTCATACTAGACATAGAGAAAATTATTGAAACGTGTTGTGAACCGCAACTTTGCATTTAGAAAAGTCTCCAAGTCTATAGCCCCACAATGAATTCTATAAATCTTACCGTCCATTTTTCACTCCCTCACGCCTCAAGCACATCTCGTGGCCAATCTAGCCTCCACGTAGAGTTGTCTTTTTATTTCTTTTATTTTTTAAATTCCTAAAACTACTACCTTTGGTACTTAATATAAGAGTTAGATAATTAATTTGTTAATATTATAAAAATTAGTTAAACTAGTTATTTATTATAAACTGATATTCTTTTCCTTAAAATATCCCTATTAGTCATATACATTAAGAAGAAAACCTTTTATCATGTGCAATCACCGTAAGCACTACTTAGGAGGAAAATGAATAAAGATGTCAGACAAAATAGATCGCGATCTTATATTTACGATCAAATTAAATTTTCAACTAGTTAGTATATTTAAGACCGAAGGTAACAACTTGTTAAGAGTAAATTTTGGGTTAAGTGCTGACATTAAAAAAAAAATTATACAGGTGGCACACTTTGATTGGAGCAATGGATATAAGGAACCAAATTAACTTGATCTAAACTTTATCCTTAGATTTTACTTATATATTCATTTATTTTTCAGAAAATGTTAATTAAATTCAATTGAAATATTAAAATTTAGGTTCAACATATGTTTTTAACAAATTTCTAATTACAAATTAAGAATTTTTAAATCTTATAAATTTTCCTGCCCCCTCCTCTCTCAATCAGAAATCCCTCTTCCATTCTTAAATCAGTACGGTCATTTAACAAGATTTAAAAATTCCTAATTAATCCTGTCCGATTAGAAATTTTTAAAAATATAGGTCCCAATTTGAATTTTGTTATTTTAGCTATTCATTGGAACTTTTCCTTCTTTTCTTTTTTTTTTTTTTTGAAACAATCGACGTTACTTGAACTGGAGTTGTTTTAATTTATTTTCAAATTTTAGTCTGCAAGTTCTTCTTATTTCATATATGATAAGATATAAAGTGCTTTTCTTCTCCAAAACGTTTTTACTGATTTTGGGCACTTTTCTTTGATAATTGCTTTTCTTGTGCGGCAGAAGCTGCCGAGAACATTTCTCTGTCACATGGTGTGATCTGAGCTATCCCTTCAAATCCAATTAAACACCTATTTTCGTATGTAGCTAATCACTTTTTCTTATATATTATACATGATTTGAGAGATAAAGCATATTATTTATGATTTATGAACAATATGACTTATTTACCTTATTATACATATATATTATTATATATTGACAATACAATTCATTTGGCTCAAAAAATACTTTTTTTGATAACAATGTGAAAGCCTACATAATTGTTGAAATAACAAGTTATGCGTGACGACTTTGATTTTTCTTCATTACAAAAGTCTTCCAAGTCAACCTTCAAGCATAGCCTCACAATTAACCCCATAAACAAGCTATCAGCAAGCACCAAAAAATTTGTAAATGTTGATAATTTGCTTCAAAAGCATTCTCCATTTTCCTGTGTACATTTTGGCTTTATCTCTCTTTATAATATCTACATAAAAGTCTAAAAATTGTTGAAGCGTGTTCTGAACGATGACTTTGTATTTACAAGAGCCTACAAGTCTATGGCCCTACAATTCATTTTTCACTCTCTCACGCCTAAAGCACATCTCTTGAGCATTATATATGTATTGCTAGTTCTCTACTTCTGAACCTATAATTGAAGATACTGTCATTATAATGGCCTTTATTTGGAAGTTTTTCTATGCGTTATTTGCATTGCTGCTTCTGTTACATACGAGTTTCAGTTTGGCTGAAGGAGCAAAGTGCGTAGAGAATGAGAGAAAAGCTTTACTCTTATTCAAACAAGGAATCCTGCATGATGACTCTGGAATGTTATCAACTTGGAGAGGTGGAGATCATGAAGACTGCTGTAACTGGAAAGGAGTTCATTGCAGTAATGAAACAGGTCACATTCAATTCCTTAGTCTTCGCAGTTCGTCTTCTTTGAGTGGTAAAATTAATATTACTTCATTGAGTGAATTGCATGATATGGAATATTTGGATCTCAGTGGCAATTATTTCTATTCAAGTGAAATCCCAGAGTCCATAGAGTCCTTTACCAAGTTACGGTATCTCAATCTCTCTTTTTCTGGTTTTGATGGAATTATTCCTTATCAACTCGGAAAGCTTTCAAATTTAGTATATCTTGATCTGGGCGACAATGGATTGGTTGGAGATATCCCTTGGACGATTGGAAACATTTCAAAGCTGCAACATCTCTATCTTGGAGATAATTCTCTTGGTGGAGTGATCCCTTTCCAACTCGGTAATCTTTCCATGCTGCAAACACTGCAGCTTGGGGATAATTTTAATCTCACGTTAGATGAGCAGAACAATCATGATGCAAAGTGGCTATCTAAGCTTTCTTGGCTATCAAGTCTTGACTTGAGTTTTGTGAGTGATTTTGGCTATTCTTATCTCTGGCTACAATTGATTGGTGAACTGCCAAAACTTAGAGTTTTGCGACTACGTGGATGTGGCATTTCTTATACCCATAATCCTTCTTTGACTTCTTATCCTTCAAATTATTCCTCTTCTCTTGTTATCCTTGATCTCTCTTCAAATAACTTGAACCCAACATGGCCCTTCAATTTGAGCTCCAACCTTCAAGAGCTATATCTAACTCATTGTAATCTTTCAAGTACTAATCGTCATTTTATATTTTCCAATTTTCAGCTTTCTTCCCTCATTGTCCTTGACCTTTCTTACACTAACCTGATGTCACTAACGGCATTGAACTTCAGCTCCAATCTGCAAGTGCTTAATTTACAAAATTGTAGCCTTTTATCTGATAGTCTTATTTTTACACCTTTCAATCCCAATCTCACTTCTCTTGTCCAGCTTGATTTGTCTGACAATTTGTTGACATCATCATCCATATTCCATTGGATTTCTAACTTCAGCTTTAATCTTCATGAGATTCACCTTCCTGGAAACTTGCTGGAGGGTCCCATTCCAGAAGGTTTTGGAAACATAATGAACTCTCTGGAAGTCCTTAATCTCCATGAAAATAAGCTACGTGGTGAAATACCAACGTCACTGGGGGGTATATGCACTTTGAATCAAGTAGATCTTTCATACAATAACTTTAGTGGGGAGCTTTCAAGTTTCATCCAAAACACTTCCTGGTGCAATAGCCATCCGCTACGATCGTTGGATTTATCTGACAATCAAATAAAGGGCATGTCAACCAATCTCTCTATTTTCTCCTTTTTGGAAGATTTAGATCTCTCTAATAATCAATTAAAAGGAGAAGTACCTAAAAGCATTGGATTGCTATCTCAATTGAATCATTTGTGGCTGGAAGGGAACAATTTAGGAGGTTTAATAACTGAATCTCATTTCAGCGAGCTCTCTAATTTGAAGATTTTATCACTGTTTGGAAATTCATTAGCCTTCCAAATTAGCGCTAGATGGATTGCCCCATTTCAGTTGCAATTTTTGGACATGGCTTCTTGTACGTTGGGTCCTTATTTTCCTAATTGGCTCCATAATCAACACGAGTTAGAGAGCTTGGATATTTCTAATTGTGGGCTTTCAGGTTTCATACCTGAATGGTTTTGGCCACTCATACAAGATGTGTTGTACGTGAACATCTCATATAACAATTTTTTTGGTGAAATTCCAAATTTATCATTGAAGCTCAGCACTGAACGAATAATTTTGATGTCAAACAACTTTGAAGGTGCTGTTCCATCATTTTTTTCACAAGTATCAGCACTTTATCTTTCAGAAAACAAATTCTCAAATTTGGTCCCACTTCTATGTGATCAAATTGAAGATAATGAAGGCATGGGCATTTTAGACGTATCAAACAATCGATTACAGGGGCATCTACCTGATTGTTGGAGCCATTTGAGCTCATTAAAGTTTGTTGATTTGAGCAATAATAACTTGTCTGGAGTGATGCCAGCCTCTATGGGACGACTTACGAATTTGGAGGCTTTGGTTTTAAGAAACAACAGCCTAGTTGGAGAAATTCCTTTTTCTTTGACAAATTGCTTCCACTTATTGCTCTTAGATGTGTCTGAAAATAAGTTGTTAGGGTCAATACCTTCATGGATTGGAGAAAACCTTGGACAATTGCAAATTCTAAGCTTAAGAATGAATAATTTATATGGCAGAATACCTTTGCATCTTTGTCGCTTAGGCCATATTCGGCTCTTGGACCTATCTCATAACAATTTGTCCAATGAAATCCCATCATGTCTTCAAAATTTTAGTGCTTTGGTACATGATGACTATATCAACTTAACTTTTCATTCATATGAGCTCCATCAAACAGGCAACCTTTTTTATTTTGAATTCTACGTAACATTGATGTGGAAGGGTAAAGATGACTTGTTCAAGAGGCCAGAACAACTTCTTAAAAGCATTGATCTATCTAGCAATGCTCTCACTGGTGAAATACCCAAAGAAGTTGTATCTTTATTAGGATTGGTTTCTTTGAATCTATCCAGAAACAAATTAAGTGGAAAAATTCCTCCTAAGATTGGAAACCTGGGATCATTAGAATTCTTAGATTTGTCAAGAAACAAATTATCAGGTCCAATCCCTCAAAGTCTTGCTCATATTGATCGCCTTAGTGTATTAGACTTGTCAAACAATTGTCTTTCTGGAAAAATCCCAAAAGGTACACAATTGCAGAGTTTTAATGCCTCAAGCTATGAGGGAAATCTTGATCTTTGTGGAGTGCCGCTTGACAAAAAGTGCCTTGATGATGGAATGCCGACACCTCAAGCATCTAATCATTATGAAGATGATGACGACGACTCATATTTCACTCAAGACTTTTACTTGAGCTTGGGATTGGGATTTGCTTTTGGATTTTGGGCCTTCCTTGGACCATTGCTCTTCAATCGCACTTGGAGACAAACCTATTATACATTTGTAAGAAGAGTTACAGATAGAGTCCAGATCTTGATGGCCATTTATGTGGCAAGGTACCTCACGAACAGATAGGTAATCATATAAAGTAATAATGTTTTCTTCCTTTTTGCACTAGTGACATTTTCAAAATATGTGACGCATTATCATGTTTCTTGCAGAATCTGCAACTTATTTGGCTTGGTGTACGTAGGATCATCCTTGGTAGTTAATAATTTGTGAGTGCAAGTAAAAACCGTTGGTTGTATGAGTTTGCTATGTTATATGTAATCTAATCTACTTTTAATAATCTTCATTACTAGCATTATATTCAATCGAGCTATTGCTTTTCTATTGCCTTGTAAATCTTTTCTGTTGTAAACAAACTGGGGCTGATAGCTTGATGATTTGTATGAATGTTTGTCTGTTCGGTTATATGATTTCTATTGGATAAATGTGGGCACCCTATACAAAACTTGGTAGCTTAGCTTCTTACAATTTAAGTTTACTGTTTTAATTTTGATTCTATATATTCTTGCTTGCTGCTATTTTGTACTAAATTGTTGATTACAAGGATGCTTAAGGCAGCAGATATGAAATTTGTAAAAAATTTTACATATGAACGAAAATTAACCATTAGCCGCTTTGTGTTGAATTGATCATCCTGAGCCACTGATGAAAAATCATTATGCTTGAAGACAAAAAGGAAAAAAAAAAATGGAAGTCCATGATTTTTGGAAACGAAAACGAAAACAAAAAAGAAATTATGAATATTTATTGCGGCATTGGGAAAAAGAGTTTTTTTTAATATAATCTTATTATGTGCTATTAATTTTCATGTGAAGGATCTGAGCATATAAGTCGTAATAGTAATAAGAGCAGCAAGATGTATTTTCAAGTTATACAAAAGGAAATAAATAATCTCCAGCATAAACTTGTTAATTAATGAAAGTCCGAATTCAACTTGAAAAGTGTAATAAAGTTGTTAATTATACAACAGTTTCGTAAGAATTATATGGTTTGGACAGAAACAACATTGGACCTTTATTTGAAGCCTGTGAGGAACTCAGAATCCTTGCTTACAGTTTGTTCAGTATATACTATATACATGCTAATTTGCAATTTGCAATGTGAAGTTCCCAAAGAGGACCAAAAATTCAGAAGTTTAGAGTCCCACATCATGAGCTCATTATAGTTCGTACAGCGGGACGCATATAAAAATGGAAGCAAGCCGACGTTGAGAAGCACGCAGCCACACGGCGAGCACAGAGCAAACTATTCTTTCGCCTTTTACTAGGGAATACCGCGTGCAAGCTGCTTCAAGCGGCACATGCCTATCTTTGGAAGGGACCCATTTTTGGGCGGGATCCTACATTTCACCCATAAAGATTTATGTTATTTATAATATTTTATTAAAATCGGTAAATGATAATTTTTTTTTTAGGAAAAAATTTTAAAAATGCTCGTTGAAGATTTCCCTCCTAAAAATATTTGGGAAAGATATACTCCTCCGGTTCTAAATATAAGACCACTTATATTTAGGACCGGAGGAGTACAATATGAGACAGTCTTTTCTCTTCTTTCTAACCATATGGGAGCTTATAATTAATGCAATACTATCTCGGTCTTAAATATAATCCTATATTTAGGACAAATTATGTCATATATTTAGGATAACAAGTACTAATAAATTAGAAGTCCTGTATGTTATGCGAAAAGAATATTGTGACATGCAAAATGAAAATTACCACTGTGTTCCTGTGCTTTAATCTTGTTTTTAATCTCCAAATTTTCTTGGTCTTCTGTCACTTTTATTAGTTCCGTCTAGAATGCTAGTACTATTTTGAAAAATACTTGGAATGATCATGAGGTAACTTGAAAATGATGTTAATTTTGTCAAAATGGACTTAACACTCTTAATTCCATCAGTCGATTGGCAACACAATTGCTAGCCTAATAAAAGTTATAAAAATAGTAAATAAAAAAATTCATCTGATTAAAAAACCCACCTCCTTAAAACAGAATAAGCACGAATGTGAAGGCCAGTGAATCCAAAAAACACGGGCATTAGACCTCATTAAAATTAACATGCTTGGGCTAGCTGATAGTGTTTTTGAGTATTTTTTAGACAAAACAAATGTAAGAAATTAATTTATTATCCAAATTCTATATCCAATTCACTTTCGGCCAACATTCCATTTAGAAGCCCCCCCCGGGGGGGTGGCCCACTTTGAAATTTATGGCCACATAGAATGACATGTAACATAGTTTGACGGCTCTCCTATAAAAAGTGATTTCCAATTAGATCTTGCTTATTAATGTCTTGCACAAATGAATTAGATCTTCTTTTTTTTTTTTTACCTGCACCAGACAATTGCTTGAGAAAAGGTATTGTATGCCAAAAGTGTACAATTGATACGTGTTCATGCTGAAATATCCGATTCCAAATAAGCGTAATATCCTACCACAGTCATAAATTCAAATTTAAATAAAATAAGATAATCAAAACATTCATTGAAATAAAATTTATTGAATCTCAGTTCCAGAGCTATATTAATGAATACCATCACAATCAAATTCAAGATTCCCCACGAATGTTGACTAGAGGTTTGCAACATTCGTGCTAACAAATAAATAAATAAATAGTTAATAGAAATACCAATAACTAATAATCAAATAAAATCATGCCAACATTATTCCCAAAATATAATCACTATCACACATATCATTCCCAAAATATAATCACTATCACATATAACACTACATATTGGGAAATGTAGCAATAAATTGGATCAATCTACACATCACATAAGAATGATACTAAATGAGGATTCGAGAACCAGACACAGTCAAGCCTTTGATGTCAGAAAATAAGGATGGAATTAGATTCAAACACGATTTATCAAATTTCCTGTTCTTTCTCAATGTTAGCACGACCTCTACTTCACATATAAACTAAATTAGCCTGTAAAACACAACTCAACCCAAAAAAAAGTACACCTCAAATTTCTAGGGTGGCCGCAGCAAAAATTAAAAGACAGCCACCACACCTATGAATGAGACTCCTAAATTTGAATTTGAAAACTATAATAAAGGAATAAATCAAAAAATTATTCTCTGAATCGCTTAACTTATATACATGGTACAAAAGCTATGGAAAAGATTAAGCTACCTGCTAACTAGCTGTGAGAAGATCAGCAAAAAATGATAAAGCCCATGAATAAAACAGACTCTAAGACTTATTCAATGTAATTGCACTGGGAAGGAATCTAACGCGGCTACATTGTTTTAATTTGGATAAAGCTTCTTTCGGCTTACCAAGCAAGAGATCTACATAAATTGCAGTAATTGTGGCTTCTGGACTGTTCGGCAATATGGATAACGCCTGGGCAACTAGTTGATGGGCTTGGTCTAACTCACCCTGCATTGCAGATAATGCCGCAAAATTTGCATAAATTATCCCACGGGCCTCTTCTGGCTTAAGAAAATCTATACGTTGAGAATCGTCAGATGAAGAAATGTTGGCTGGCGCAGATCCTGCAGTTCCATCTTCAAATTCAGCAGTTCTCTCCACCTGCCATTTCTTGCAGTCATCTTGACTCAAAGGCAATTCAATAGCGTATCCCCCAGACAAATAAATTGACAAATGCTCGGCAGCTTCCTTTGGTCTATTTAGCAAGCAGAGTGCCTCTGCTGAATAAACATGGCCTAGAAAGAGATAAATTCTAGAGCATTCTGGAAGTTCCAGAAGAGATGTTGCAACTGACAGTGCCTTAACAGGGTTGTCTAATTCCAATTCCACATATGCCAGGTTAGCAAGGGCTACCTGCTTAATCAATAAATTTTCTCTTCTGCACATATCTTCATAATGGGACAGGGAGCTCTGAATGACCTCCTGATTAGTACCTCCCTTTTGCTCTTTCACGTCGCCCTTTGAATTAGCCTGACCTAAGCTTAATGCTAATGAAAATGCCTTGAAATCGATTCCGAGTAAATTCTTATTGTTTGAATTGCTGGATGACACATCACCTGAATGATTTTCCTCACTTAACGAATTGAAAGGCAAGCCAGACTTTAAATTATCCATCTTGTTGGAATCCAGCAAGTACAGGACATTTAACAGGAACTGCCGGGCCAGAGACATCGATAAATTCAGCTGCACATCATTTTTGAGATGACAATCATATCTGTCAAGCAACTCTGCACATCCATTTCTTGGAATCTCATTGTTCAGTACAAGTTGCCTCCATTTTCCCTTCCCAACAACATGAACTCCAATTTCCAATCTTGTTGGTAAAACACGGCTTGATTTAATTAGGCCCTTTTCCAAAGCCATCAGACAGCATTCAGCGAGCCGAAGCCACAAGAGAGGCTTATTGTAGAAGACCATACTAGACTTCTGAAAACAGCGAGCAGCAAGTAATGGCTTTCCACAAGCCAAGTACTGCATACCACAATTATATACTATAAGAAGGGCGTTATCCTGAGAAAAAGTGGGCAGCTTTAGCGGTTGGTTCTTCCTAAGGGACGAACAATTTGTCAATGCCTTGGAGAAAAACAAAGATGATGTCTGGTATTTCCCAAGCTGATAGTAAATGCAACCAAGATTGTTGTGGAAAATGCTCAAAAATGCTGGGTCTGTCCTGTTATTTGATACCATCAATAGCTTGATTGCTTTGCGGTGGTTATGACGAGCATATTCAAGCTGAGATTTCAAAAGAAGAGCCATTGAAGAATCTCTTCCACGTGCAATGTTCATAGCGAGCTTCACTTCACGTTTGGCTAGCTTCAAATTCCTGGTTAGCAGCAAAAATTCAACCTTGTAAAGTTGGAGTTTAAGCTTCAACTCAACATTAGAAAACCTATCAACCAATGCCATTGATAGATCATTTGATGATAAACCAGCTGGGATGGTTAAATTCTGTCCACCCATATCCAGCATCAGGGCTTCATAATCAAGGGCCTCTTCAGAAAAAGCCCTAGACAGATTACTTTCAGATGCATTAGCGCCTGGCCCCAGATCAGAACTAGATGTATCTGCAGCTGATGGACCACTAGGGATTGATGAAGACTTGGTGATTAGGTTTGCAGATTGTTGCTGTGCTATGTTTCCATTGTCACCTTGACTCGCATTACTAAGACTAAATGCCCTTTCCAAATAAGACAAAACATCCTAATAAAACAGATTCCACCATCAGAACTTCGCACTTCTGAAAAGCTAAATAGGAAAAAAAAAATTCTATAAGCACTCAGTCATTTTATGCCCAGAAAATATTTTTACTAACAAATGTACTTAGCTGATCATCAAAATCTCATCAAAATATGCTCATGATCTGGAATGTGAAGAAAAAATTCTCCTAGTATATTCCTTTGTTTCTTCACAATAACTCTTGCAATATTCATAACCCATATTATACACAATTATAAATACCATATCAAACAATGTTTAAAATATGTTTGTCATTTTTATGAATGATTACTTTCGTTATACTTGGTATGCTTGCTTGACCTTGACACAGTGGACACAAAATAAACTCACAAGTATATAAGTAATACTTATATCACAGTATATTTCAAAAATAAAAACTCAGTCTCACTCAATACTCAAATGTTCATATACCTACAGCACCTAACATATACAACTCAGGGTCAACAGCTCATTAATAACACTTCTAGTCCCTGGTAATAATTCTGAAAAAAAAAAATATATATATATATATATAAATGACAAAGGCTTCAACAAATGAACTAGTTTAATTATAAAATATAACTTACAGCTGATTTTGATGCATCACGGCAAGCAAGGCTAGCATCAAGCAGCAGCAGGCATACGTGTAGAGCTGTTGTCTGCTTTTTGAAAGAGAACCCAGAAAAATACAAAACCAAAGCAGTCAACACATTGCAACTTCCAGAACAATACAACATTTAATCAATTCGTGATATACCTCATCTATGGGTTCAATATTTTGATAGAGGGGTTCCAAAACTGATAATGTCTTTCTATACTCGTGGAGATGGTACCAAATGATTGCCTATAGAGATTAAAATCACAAAAAGCAAGAAAAAAAATATATACAAATAAATTTATATGCCCAAATTGAAATATATAGATATTTTGAAAACAAATTTTTCAAGTAATAAAGAGTAACCAACGTACAATATTTAGTATTGCCACAGATGAGTCAAACCCATCCGTATATGTTGTAGTGGTGCTATGTGCACCTGAAAACTGATGTGACAAAGCATTACTTCCTTTGGATCCCAAAACAACTTTGTTTCCAACATTCTTAACTGACTCTCCATGTTCTCCAGAAGCCCGAGCAAGCTCATCACACTTCCTCTAAACCAATGGCAGTAACAAGATGCAGTAGTAAGCACAACTATATAAGCGGCCAAAACAAAAAACGTGAGTACAACTAAATAGAAATGAAAACTTCAAAGAAACAAAACAAAACGCAGATGGCGCAAATTAGGACAAATCAAGTTTCAAAACCCTAAATTTTAACCAATCTTCATTTGGTTCATAGTTTGAGGGCAGATTGGAAATAAAAATGGACATCAACATCCTGACAGACTCAATGTGTGAGCAGAAAGATTGTCACCAATATTCTAGGACCCTTGTCTTCTGCAATCATTCAACTCAAGATTCCATGAGAAAAATAATACTCAAGCCTCATACAGCTGTGTTCCCTAACTTAAAAGTACATTATTCAAGTCTCAGTATGCACAGGCGCACGTCCATCCATAAATATTATATCATAAAACTAAAAACCACAGAAGAGAGAATTTCATAGTTAATGGTTGGCATAAATATTTATGTCTATCAGCCAACCGGATATTAGAAATTTCCCATCTCTGCAGCTCTCCTATTCAAACGAAAAAAAATCTACTTCAAGTACAAGATTTACAGTCATGTGAAGCAGCCAGCTATTTAAGATCAATCTAGACCAAGGTATGTGGTAAAATTTTAGACATGCATCCTCCCACTTTCAACCAAGTTCCCGTACAGAAATTTCAAAGCCCCCTGCCCATAACAAAAAGAAAAATGCATTCACCTGCGTATTGCGTAAAGGCTCATAGACTAATCATATTTTGAGTCGGCCAATTTTTGAGTTTGCAGAATTCAAAATTTAGGCCAAAGCTATCACCATATGAATTTGTCATTATCACTTTTAATTTGGTAATGATGTAAACACAATTATATACCCTTTCTCACCTAGTGCTAGGAAAACCACAAAATAAAACCATTGTTAAAACTCACTTTTCCCCCGGGGAAAAATCCTAACATCCCAAACTAAAAAAGAAAAGAAACAAATTAATTTCACTGGCGAGCCAACCAACCCAAAAAGAAAAATATGGAAAAATAAAAAAGAAAATGACAACAAAGCCAACACTTCCAAGTAAACCACAAGGAGAGAATGAAGAAAATGAGAAAGAAGAGGAGGAGATAGCTTACCTTCACACAATTAAGCACTTCAAGCAACTTCTGGGGATTCAAGGAGCCATCTTGGAAGGATTTCGTAATTGCAATATTATGAAAGACCTGAAATATTAGCATTTAAATTTAAAATCTTATATATTTGGAGAATAGGATAGCAGACTTCGTTGGTTGTATTAACCCATGATCCCACCATGATGGTCCACCTCAATTGTATGAAACAGGCTGGGATATGAATGATAACAAATCTTTCTAATATCAATGAGAAATTAAGATATGACTCCCAAGAAAAGAGACAATAGATTCTTGATGACTACAGCACAGAGGGCAGCTCCAAGCATTCTAAAACACCAAAAAGTTCATAGTGCTTATTATCTGTTCTCATTCCGGCCAAAAAAAAAAAACCAACTTCATGGCCATAGTTAATCCAATTGAAGCTCCTTCAATTATTTTAAAATATTGATCAAATTACAACCTAATCCATTTGCAGGATTCTTTTACAAGTACGCATAGAAACGACAACGCAAAGCCACAACGACTCCAATTCCAAGGAAAGTGGATATTTATCTGGTTAGTGTTATGCATGCACACAAATCATAAGTGAGCCCTTGAACAGAATACAAGCTCCAAATTTTTCTGGTGAAATTACTCCTGCATCCACTTTAGATTCAATATATGTTCTTCTAAAAGTCCAATCTACTTTTTTTGAAGTTTGAAGAAGAACAGAGCCGCCGGAAATCTAACATCTTTCTCCCTGGAAAATATAGAGGCATTCCCCAATACAAACATTTCAAACTGCTTAATACTTCATATTCAGTCATTTTTCACGTGCTCCCCCCCAGACAGATCTATATCAATTCGCATTTGCATGTATAGCAACAGAAATTTCACAGCATGCGCCCGCCAGCTAGTACGACAGGGATTTACAAAGATTGAATTTTGTCACTTACAAAAAATTGAACTAATGAATCAACGAAAGACCACCACCAGCCAGAGAAGGCAAGGGGAAGAACATACCATGGCATCAACTAACATCTGGACAGGTGAACAGAATTGAGTCTTGTCAAAACCATTCAGAAAGAAATGTAAATGGAAATGCTTAAGTGGATAACAATAAAGAGAGTCAACCATTTCCACCATTATTTCGTCCAGAGGAAAAATGAAAGCAGGCAGCAAAGTTAATGACGTTGGTAGGACCAGTCATCCATATGCATGCAAAAATAGAAAGAAAAATGACCTTGGGATCGTCTTGTTGCATCTGCAAGAGCTGCTTCAAGACTTCAACACATTCGGCAAACTTGCCTGACTGAAAATGCAAGGCAGCGTCTTTTGCTAGCGCAACGGTGACCGAGAAAGAAGCATCGTCGGAGGCATCAACCGGCGAAGAACCATCGCGGCTAGGGGCAGGGAGGGTCGTTGACGCAGAGGAAGGCGATAATGTCAAATCTCGGACTTCCATGCTCAGATCGAGTAACCAGAATACAAATCGTATTGCAAGAAAGTAGAAAAGCCCTAAACTGAGTGAAGTACTCCGGATGAAGCAGCACAGTGAGAAAGAATCTGATTATCCGAATTGATTATAATAACGAAGTGAAAAATAATTTGGTGAGAAAAAACTCTCTGTATTTATGTGTTGCAAGTGTATCCGGTTCAGCAGAGGGGAAGAGAGAGAATGAAAACCTATACGCCGAATCTGGAAGACGGGAAGATCCGGCTAGAAACAGTAACTACGGAAGTGAGCAAGGGAGTTAACTTGGGTCTCATATTTTCTCGGGAAAATTGATATTAAGCCCCTCAGCTTGTAGCACCAATTTTCAAATTAGTATAAAAGTGCACAAGCGCTAAAAATACTGTTCACATTAGGTATCAAACAGTTACAAATGACAGAAGAGGAAAAGCTTAAATTGGCATTATAAAAACGTGAAAAAATGACATAAATTCCTTGAATGTCAGCAAACGCATATTTCCTGCAATTGAGCTGAAAATAACAACATCCTTTTAACAATGTTTGAGTTGAAATTAATAGGTTTTTTTTTTAATGTCAAGAGTTCGCAAATTGAGAAAAATTACCTTCTTTTAGAAATGCATACAATTAAGTTAGAAATAACAATATCACAATGTGTTTTAGTAACTTTTGAATTGAGATTAACAAGTTTTTACTGTCTTCATGAAATGTGTCAATTAAGCTTGTAATGACAACATCGTAAAACATTTTAACAAATTTCAAATTGACATTAACAAGTTACTTTTTTATCCTCCCTTCTGACATATGTAAATAATGAGCAAAAATAGCCCAGCTATCCAACAAAATGGTATAAATAATGTGAAAATAAAATATCCCAAACCTAAGTCAAAAGTAATAAACTTCAATGCTATCAAGTCTCAAATCTCATGTATTCTAATTATCTCAGTTTTTCAAGGTACAAAAACGAAGCACATATCTTCCCCAAGCCATAACAAAAAAACAAAAACAGCATAAGCTCCCAGTTAAAAGACGCTAAGCTATTTGAAGATCAGCAAGGAACATTGCCGCAAAAGAAATGTTTGCTAGAAACTTGAATACATCAAGCTAGTGAGATTCGGATTGGTGAATAAACCTATTAGGGCTGCGGGTTAAAGATTAATGGGTCAAACTCTGATTAAATTATCAATGAAATTGAAGTGAAGAGTGGGATTTAGGGGCTTAGAGTTTAGGGATAGAGACCAGAGTCGTTGATCCATCCCAAATCCCTTCCCATCTGTTTACACACTTCTAAACCCGTGCATTGCTTGGATTCCTGCAACCATCGTTCATCCCCGCTGAGCCCACCTCATGTCGCGTCTCCAAATCTGGTTCTTGATCCATTCACATTGAAACACGAACAGAGCCCTCCGGAGGTGAATTCCAGCTCGTGTCAGCTCTGTCCGCTGCTTGAAAGATGGTGTTCTATAAGGTGGTGGGGGCATCTGTCTACCAATCCTTCTAGTTGCTCACAGGATCTTTCAAAGGCTTTCTTGCTGCGATTTCTTCCTTCTTTTTCTTTCTTCATTCTCTTCATTATTGTAAATGTATTAAGAATTTTTTTCTATTCAACAAAAAGTTGCACATTGTTTGAGAAATGTTAATAATTCATGCAAAGATATTTATATATCTGAGTTTTAGTTGGGATTTTTCAAGAAAATTTTATTGGGATTTCCCCCAAAAGTTTTTTAAGGAGTTAAATGGTTATGATTTTAGGGTTAACGTGCAAATTTGTTATGAAAGTTTGCAGCATTTAGAAATTTTTTGGATGTAAATTTCCATCAAAAGTTTAAAATCATAGTAATGTTATTATATATCGTTAAAGATGTTAATGGTTAATGTCATTGTTTTAGTGGTCAACATTAGCTTTCTAATGTTAAGGGGTAAAATTATTACACTTTCATGACAGATTTAGGATGTATAGTCTAAGTGAAAACTTCTGAGATAAATTTGCATCTTAACCTATGATGCTTTTATTGATGAGAATGACTTTTTGCATATTTATTATTATAAAAATAAATTAAGTGATGATAATTAAATTGAATAGTCTACATATTATTGACTTTTATTTTCCGTAAGAAATTTATGCGGTCACCAAACAAAATCAAATTTATTTCTTAGCTAATAAGATTAAAAAAAAGGAAAATTTAAGCATAAAGACCTAGAATAATCAATATTTATGGCAAAGATCCATTAAAATTATAACTGTATTGGACAACCAAAATATAAAGAATGGACAATTATTTAAAAGAACCATCCAATTGCATTTACCTTTTCCTCTCCTCAAATTCGCACCATACTGTCCAGCAAGCAACAATTCTTATGGCACTCAACGTAATAGCATTTCTTGAAACCATTTTACACATACGTGACATGAATTATACACCCAAAAAAAAAAGTGGCAGAAGAAAAGATGGACTGTCCACAACGGAAGTTAAATTACAAAAAAAATAATCATTTGCTGAAAATATTAGAACTAACTTATTTCAGTTGCATAAAAAGAAGATGTCGCATAGCAAAAAATGATTGCACATAAGAGAAGTTAAGCTGCACATAAGAGAAGTTAAGCTGCACAAAATTTTTGAGAATCATTTGCTAGTTAATTTCTAAATTACGAATTTATTCCTAATTTTCCCAACAAAAATATACAGCAGAGGGGCATAGTTAATTCAAGTCGCTTTTATCCTGCAATATTTTTTAAATTCTCTCTCCAAAAAGCATTTCGATGTTGACTTCACAATCTTTCTTCGGAAACTCTATGCTTCTGCCATTATACCTTTGCAATAATAAAACAAATCAACATTGACGAATATAGATGGTGTTGTGAGGAACAGATCCTGCAGAAGAACTTTAACTAATGCCCCCGGTTGGTAATTGTCTAAGAGGAACGTGTGAGTTGTGGAGAGAAAATGTGGGATTTAACAAGGGGTAATTTAGCATTTTTAAATGTATAATCTGGTATTTGATCTTTTAAAAAATTAGGATTTTTAGGCTCCTTTGTAATAAATATTTTTTCTTCCTGCTCTTCCATTATAATTTTCCCTTACTTTGTGTTTGGTTTGACAGAATGGAGGAGAGGAGAGTGGTTTTAATGAAGGGGAGGAAGCTAAAGTGCATGAGAGGGCAGCTACAGAGGGGAAAGGAGGCGAGATTTTTTTTTCAGTGTAATTTAGAGTATACTCAAACCACTTTGAATTTAAGACTAATTTCTATCAGGCTAAGAGCATTAAAGTTGAAGTCCTCCTAACAACTACATTTTCTGGATTCAAACTTCTATTCTCCTCCTTAATGGGGTAAAACTGCTTACCATCTCAACCAACAGCTTATTAGTGAGGGGAGATATTTTAATGATCCCTTATTTTGTATTGACTGAAGGGGAGGGAAGGGGAGAAAATGATACTAGGAGGGAAGATAATACAAATTAACTATTTTAACCTTAGAAAATTTAAATGGATTTTCCATCCTTTCTATTTTATCAAGACATAAATATGTATAAACACTCAACACATCATCACGCGCATATTCACAAGTAAGCAGTCAATATGGGAAAATGAGTGGAAAGCAAAATAAAATATTAACAAAACAATGTAATTAGAAGAAAGGCCAAAGAATACTCACTAGTTCTGAATATCACAAGATCACGATCGAAAAATTTTTAAGAGGAAAGACGAGTGGGTAGGAGGGATTTTGCTCCCCTCCTCTTGTTTGGGTTGCTGAAATTTTTAAGATGGGAGAAAATATTTTAAAATTTTTCCTCATCTCCCCTCATAACTCTCCTATTCCAAATTGGAAGAATTTGAAAGGAAAATAGTAATATTTTAGCTTGTTTTGATTAATATGTTTATAATTAGTTTTTAATATCTCTATATTATCTTTCTGATAATTGTCACTCTCTTATCAAATCATATGTCAAAGATATTCATATATCTCAGTATGAGTTGGGATTTGATTATTTCAAGAAAATTTTATGGGGATTTCCCCTAAAATTTTTTTAGGAATTATATTGTAATAATTTTATGGTTAAAGTGTAAATTTGTTCCGAAAGTTTTCAACACTCAAAAAATTTTTAGATATAAATTTGTACCAAAGATTTAAAATCATAACAATATTGTCATATATCGTTAAAAATGTTAATAGTCAATATCACTGTTTGAGTAGTTAATGTGAGTTTTTCAACAGCAAGGGAAAAAATTGTTAAACCTTCAGGACAGATTTAAGATGCATACTTTAAGTGAAAACTTTTGAGACAAATTTGCACCTTAACCCATGATGATTTTATTGATGAGAATAACTTTTGCATATTTATTATTATAAAAATAAATTAAGTGATGATAATTAAATTGAATAGTTTACGTATTATTTACTTTTATTTTCGGTAAGAAATTAAAATTTATGCGTTCGCCAAACAAAATCAAATTTATTTCTCAGCGGAGAAGATTAAAAAAGGAAAAATTAAGCAGAAAGACCTAGAATAATCAATATTTATGGCAAAGGTCCGTTAAAATTCTAATTATATTAGACAACCAAAATATAACGAATAGACAATCATTTAAAAGAACCATCCAATTGCATTTACCCTTTCCTCTCCTCAAATTCGCACCATACCGTCCAGCGAGCAACAATCCTTATGGCACTCAACTTAATAGCATTTCTTGAAACCAATTTACACATACGTGAGATGAATTATAAACACACCAAAAAAAGTTTAGTTGTACAAAAAAATGTGGCAGAAAAAAAGATGGACTGTGTACAAAGAAAATTAAATTACACAAAAGAATAATTGTTTGCACAAAATATTAGAACTAATTTATATTTAGGTAAGGTGGATTGCACACAAAAAAAGTTTAGTTGCACAAAAAGAAGACGTTACAAAATGAAAAATGATTGTATATAAAATAAGTTAAGTTGCACGCATAAAAAATTAAGCTGTACAAAATTCTTAAGAATCATTTGCTAATTAATTTCTAAATTACCAATTTATTCCTAATTTTCCCAACAAAAATATACAGCAGTGGGGCATAGTTAATTCAAGTCGTTTTTATCCAGCAATATTTTTGAAATTCTCTCTCCAAAAAGCATTTCGATGTTGACTTCACAATCTTTCTTCGGAAACTCTATGCTTCTGCCATTATACCTTTGCAATAAAACAAATCAACATTGACGATGGTGCTGTAAGGGATAGATCCTGCAGAAGAACTTTCACTAATACCCCTGTTGGTAATTGTCTAAGAGGAACGTGTGAGTTGTGGAGGGGATTTAACAAGGGGTAATTTAGCATTTTTAAATGTATAATTTGGTGTTTGATCTTTTAAAAAATTAGGATTTTTAGGCTCCTTTGAAATAAATATTTTTTGTTCCTGCTCTTTCATTATAATTTTCCCTTACGTTGTGTTTGGTTTCATAGAAAGGAGGAGAGGAGAGTGGTTTTAATGAAGGGGAGGGAGCTAAAGTGCATGAGAGGGTGGCTACAGAGAGGAAAGGGAGGCGAGATTTTTTTCCATGTAATTCAAAGTATACTCAAACCATTTTGGATTTAAGACTAATTTCTGTCAGACTAGGAGCATTAAGGTTAAAGTCATCATCATAAGTGTGTTTTTAGGATTCGAACTTGTGTTCTCCTCCTTACAGAGGTAAGACTGCTCACCATATCAACCAACAGCTTGTTGATAAGATGACATATTTTAATGATCTCTTGTTTGTATTGATTGAAGGGGAGGGAAGGGGACAAAATGGTACTAGGAGGAAAGCTAATAAAAATTGACTATTTTAACCTTATAAAATTTAAATAGATTTTCTATCTTTTCTATTTTAACCTCATCAACACACAATACATCAACACACACATTCACTAGTACGCAGTCAATATGGGAAGATGAGCGGAAAGCAAAATAAAATATTAACAAAACAATGTAAGTAGAAGAAAGGCCAAAGAATAAATTTTAACAAAACAATGTAATTAGAAGAAAAGCAAAAGAATACTTACTAGTTCTGAATATTACAAGATAACGATTGAAAAACTTTTAAGAGGAAAGAGGAGTGGGTAGGAGGGATTTTGCTCCCCTTCTCTTGTTTGGGTTGCTAAAATTTTTAAGAGGGGAGAAAATATTTTAAGATTTTCCCTCATCTCCCCTCATAGCTCTCCTCTTCCAAATTGGAAGAATTTGAAGAAAAATAGTATTTTAACTTGTTTTGACTAATATGTTTACAATTACCTTTTAATATCCCCATATTATCTTTTTGATCTTATATTATGTGTGTAAATGATGATAACTGTCACTCTCTTATCAAATCATATGTCAAATCATAAAAAATCCCTCCCCTCCTCTCTCGTCAATTCAAACAAAATAGTATTAAAATACCAAAATTTCTATTTATATCATTTACTACTAATTGAAAGATTTTGTTTTTTCAAATATTATATGTGCCTGAGCAAGCAATATTCACAAAGACATGTCTTTGCTAAAAAAAGAGTAACCAATAAGCTGCTGATTGAGATAATTTACAAACTCATTTTCATAAAGAGAAAAATACAAGTTGAGATCTTACAAAGCTTCCCTATTGGTAATAGCTCAAGATAACCAAACAAGGACAGTTGAGAATTGTCTTCCTTCGTCAGCATCCACCTCATGCCTAGTGGATGGAGGTTGATCAAGGATATAGAACTTAACCTCCATGCTGTGGTAGGCACTGGTGGGCAGATTTGCATTGGTCCAAAAAATTTCATTCCCTTCTCACCAAAAAAATCATTCCCAAGGAATGGAGGTCATTCCGTCAGTCTACTTGAGTATTGCTCACTGCCAAAGCTGTTAACCTCGTCAATCTCTTTCCTATTTGCATACCACATAGGCCACTGCCTCCTACCAAAGATGGCCAAGTGATCCGTATTGCAACTGAGACCCCAAAAAAAAAAAAAAACAACAATAGTACAAATCACCAGAGTACACCATAAATATTTTCAAAGTTCTCCTAAGCTAGGCCTCGGCCACAATGGAGGATACACATGGACTGAGGATACATCACTATGTGATGGGGGAATCTCATCAAAACGTATTTACACTGTTCATATTTGGGTGCCAAAAAAACAACTACCCTCTTGCATTCGTTTGAAACAATTTAACGAAAGGGATTAACAACATGGGTTACTATTTTCAACACCTGAGTGGCTGGTGAAAATAATCTACGCTCAAGTGCAGACGTATGCAGGTCTGCAGACAACTCTTACGACAGATACAAAGCTTCTAAATAATCATCGATGTAAGCTAAGCTGGGCCAGTGATCTGTACGAATTCGAACTAAAGTTGAAACATCACAGACTTCCATTTGAAAAAGCAAATGAAACCTCGGAGGAAGAACTATTAAGATAAGAATACAACCCAAGTTTCGTTTTCTAGCACTGCTAACGCCCCCCTTGGTATCCTCATCATTGTAAGTCAGGAAAAGTGGGCCCGTATCAAAATTAGCAGCTGAAGCAGGATCATGTGAAGCATCTGAAGTATCATCCCAAATGATGTTCTGGATGATGCCGCCGCCACGTACAATATCAATAAGAGGCTCCCCAGTCACACCCACAACATAGCATGCTAGGTGGCGCTCAGTTGCCTGGACCAAAGAGGCTACAGGGGTATCAAGAAGCTTAACAGATCGGGTTCCACTGATGGCTGCGACTCCTTTGCTTCCTTTCAATGGAAAGGTCTCCCGCCCAGTGTTGGAGGACGTCCCACATGCCTCCCATAAAGCAGTGAATAAGTCTAATTTGTAGCGAGGTATTGCATCTTCTGCTATGTCTGGTGGAACAATGGCCTTTAAAAACATGTCCTCTATGCCGACAGTAATTCCTCGAAGCTGACCTTGAATGATCTGGCCGTTTTCCGCATTGGTTTCAATGTGAACATCAACAACACCAGGTGTTGGTTCCCTTGGCTCCAATTCGATCACCACAGAAGCTCTAAATTTATCTTCTTTGGCACCATTTTCTACAGGAACAATTGAGAGATTCTGAGATGTATTATTATCATAACGTTCACCAAGAAGAAAAGGTATGCGATAAGATGGAATAGGCCCATATGGTGCAGAAGATGAGAATTTTAACACAGTAGCATATATAGCAGGAAGGGCATCTATCTCTTCCAAGGACAAGGCAGTGGTATCGATTCCTAACATGCGGATGAAATTACTAGACTCAAGTCTCAAACTACAATTTATCTTGACTCTGAGTCCTGGCATACATCTGAAGTCAGGAATGCAGGAAAAGTACTTCCTCAATGTGTTCAAAATATCTGCAATTTTAGAATCTGTCACGCGCAGTGGCTCTTGGGTTTGGCTAATTCTTCCCATTTCAGGAATAGTCTCGGTATTAGAACTTTCAGGAGACTCATTTTCCTCAGCAGGGGCTTCACTGTCCTTGACACCCTCTAGATAGGCAGGTTTGTCGTTGCTAACCCCAAAACTTGATAATGACAGTGACCAAAATTGTTTAACAAGCAAAGGGATCACACGCTCAAGGTGAATGCAGGATGATAAGTCCCTAAACGTCTTGAACTTTTGAGAAAGTCGAGGTGACTGAACGCTGTAAAAAGAACTTGACTGTGAAGATGGGGAGACACCATGGATCAAGTCCCCAAGTTTCAAGATGTCTCTGAGCTTCTTCCCTGGAATGCAAACCAGCATACGCAAGTAGATTCTGCAAAAACAAACAACAGAAAACATTAGAATAGATAAGCGACCATTTTGTAGGCCCTATGAACCTTTTCCAAGCTATTTTGAACTTCAAGAATGGAAGATGATGAAAGGATATCACACAACCAATACAAAACCAAAGGGAAAAACAATAAGAGAGAACTACAATAAGGTCCCAAAAAAGAAAAATAATTATAAAAAATCCCAATAACAGCTTAAGCAGCTTGTAATGACAAGTTTCAGAATAGGAAATGACAACTTCTGGAACTTGTTTTGTAATTGTTTTCCTTTCTTGGGACCTCATTGTAATTCTCCCAAACAATAGTAAACAAAAAAGAACAAACAATTCACCGTCACTACCTTGCATTATCACGAACTTCCAAATCAGGATAAAAGAGACAAGTGAAAGCAAGCATACGAGATAACCTAAGGAACAATCTGGAACTATGTCGGTGAACCAGCATGGTCCGACAAATCCCAAGAACCCTACTACCATGGGACCAAGATTTCATTCCTGTATCTGGGCCATGTTTTTCGACAAGGAAAAACATGAAGTTTGAGAGCAGCTCCAACAATCTGAGTGGAGGTATTGTTTCGTTTTCAGAAATTCTATCAAATAAGGGGAAGTAAGAAATCAACTTATAATCCACTCTCAATTTTGGAAGCAAATGCTCATCAAATTTCTGAAGTAAACGCTCTCCCAACCAAGAATGCTTTTTACAGGAGAGAAAACGATCAACAAAGGCAACAACCACAGGAACCAATCTCCAACCATCCAACATCATGTTCACAAGCATCCCCTGAAAAACGAAACTCAAATTTAGTATTTGCTAATTCAAAATTCACATATGATAATGCAAATCCAAAGAGAATAAAAAAGTTACTATCATTCAAAAGAAACAAAAGAGAAATGATAATAATATTAGCTTCCATTTCAATCACGTAGCACAAGCCTAACATTTTATTCTATGGAAGGAAGGACAATAACAAATCCTCAGGTATCGATTTTTAGGCTTGGGCCTAGGCGTGGTTCTTTAACCCATACTATAAACTAGCAGAAAGAGAACTGGAATTCATAAATTATGGCTTGCTATTATTACCCATAAAAAGGGGAGGGGTTGGCGGCGAGATATGGAAACCATTTTTCTCTTTAAATCCCCAGTAGCATTCATTAGATAGAAAATGTAAAGCGGGAACTCAAAGGACAAAACCAAAATTTGGTGAAAAAAAACGACCTCAGCATATGATCAAGTAGCCAAAAAGAAAACTGCTAAGGCAGTAAAGGGTAGTAAATCTTCTATATGATTTTTAACTATCCTACCAGCATGGTTCATCAATAGGACTGGAGAAATACAAACAACCTGACCTAAACCAGCAGGGCTTTTTCTCCTTTGGGAAACAAGATATTGATGAGATGAGATAACAGACCAAGGTAAAAATAACGGAGGCCATGAAATCCTGCCCAGACAAAAGAAAACAACATAGGCTCTAAGGCAAAAGACGTCAATCCATTTGAAGGTCCATGAAGGATACTCCCCAAAAAGAAACTGTTTGTAGAAACCCACCAGGAGGTCATTAAAATAATCCTCTCCCAAAGAAGACTTGATGGAAGAAATTGCTAATAAAAAACACCATGGCATTTTGTTCTAACTAAAGACACCGGAAACCAACAAGAACTGCACAGTGCCAGTAAACTCCAAGCTTCTTTGACCTTCCAAAATCCATAAGCTTGCCAGCTACAAAACCACTAAGATCAGCTGGACAAACCCATTTCTTGTCAAGAAATTCAGAAAACAATACACCCACTACAAATGAAATCTACCAATGTGTGTTTGGATGTGGTAAAAAAGTGTTTTTTTTTTTTTAAATGAAAATCATGGTTTGTGATAAAGATGGCCAAACACCTCATGCAATCCAAAAATTGATTAATTATACCAAAGCCATGGTTTCAAGGCCAAAACTATGGTTTTCCATCAAGCTAGGGTGATCAGATTCTGAAAAGAATAATGACAGTGTTAGAGGGTAACAACTATCCAAACATTATCACTTTTTTCTACAAAATCTATTCTCCAAAATCACTTTTAATCACCTTTTTTCAAATATTATCACTTTTTTTCACAAAATTTATTCTCGAAAATCACTTTTGACCACCTTTTTTCAGAATCTATTTTCCAAAACTAGTTAAATACCACAATACCATTTTTCCAGGATACTGGAACTCAGTCATTTTACAACCTTGTTTGTAATATTAACATATCTTCCATCATTGACATCACATTCAGAAAACAGACTCTATTCTGGTTTTATATTATAATATAGTATGAAAACTAACATAAGAAAATTAAGCTACTGTTGCAAACCCCACCGGTTGCCTCTGAATTCACCAGTAGTTATTCTGTTCTATTACATCAAGAATCACGATATCTGATTTTTAAGAAAATACACCAAACAATATTTTCTGTCCTCCCTTCTGGCACATATGAATAATAAGTAACAATAGCCCTGATATCCAACTAAATTGTACAAATAACATGAAATTAAAGTATCCCAAACTTAAGCCAAAACTAATAAACCCCGATGCTATCAAATCTCAAATGTCATGACTTGTCATTATCCCACAGCTTTCCATTTTCTTTTCATTTTGATACAGTATCAAAATCTAGCAAAAAATTTACCCCTAGCAATAAAATTCAACTTTGACAGGGCATCATAATCACAGGGGAGGTGGAAATTTTGTTGAAATATCAATAAGATGGGCAGCAAGCAAAACAAGGATAGAGTTAGAATTACCTCTAAGGTACAAAATATTTTGGAGTCTAACAGATATGTTGTTGTAGAAGGATCATAATCAGAATGAGATGACGAGCTAATCACAAATTTATGTAAGGTACGGAACATGACAGCTGTTTCTGTGCTCCCTGGAGGTAACCATTTGAAAGATGATACACAGACAAGACTGTCTCCAAAGAGCTGTACTGGATTAACTGAATCTACTTCCTCCTGTGAACTACCTCCCGATCTCAAGATATCAACGCATATTGAGCAGAGCGCAAGGAGGTCAAGTTTTAACGCTTTCAAAGCAAGCGGATCAAATAAATTCGGATAAAACGCCGAGCATAATGTGATTACAGACCTAGCTTTTCCAACTTCTTTACAGAAAATCAATTTACTGAAACCCAACAACCACTGAATAGCTAGCAATCGAAAGACCAAGTAATGCTGTGCTTCTCTTGAAATTAACAAAAGCCTTCGGGAAATCTCTCCCTCTTGCCCATCAAAAGCATCTAAGAAATGCAAATACATCATCAAAACAACATGACACAGCATAGGGTCATACGAATAAATCATTCCAAAAAACTGCACCTTCAACATTGATGATTGCAACTCCAAGGCCACTGCCACCGGCAATATCATTGCCATGAACTCCATCATTCCACAAGGAGTCATAACATGCGGCCACTCTAGCAAGAAGGCTATCGCCCTCCTTAACTCCTTATAATTCAAACCTGAAATTTCCTTGTTGGAACCCATTAACCATTGGGGCACATTGAAAGGGACCATCGGTACAGATGTATTCAAAATAGACAGATTTAATTTCTGAGCCACAATGTTATGTATGACGGACATGAACAACAAAATGTAGTTCTGGGAAGCGTGAGTGCGCTCATTTTGGCACAAGCCCCATAAATGTCCAACAATCTCGGAAAACAGACAAGGATTCGCCCTCTCCAACTCCCTCAGACACTCGCAGGCAATGGCACGAGTATGGCGGTCCACCCCATGATTCGGGCGATTAATCATGGTCAACAAAAATTCAACCAACTTCACAGTATATCTCGCTTCAAACTTGTCAAATTCATCAAGACATATTAGAATCGATGTGGTGGAAACCATCAATTGCTCTTTGAAAGTGAAAGTGATGTGAACCCCATCCACTGGAGCTTGAATCACAATTCGAAGAGTATTGATGAGGCGATCGAGGAAGTGGGACTGATGTTCATGGTCGAACAGAGAATCCGAAAATTCTTCAAGGAAAAGGAGGAGTTGAATCTTGAGAGAATGAGAGAAGTCCTTTCGGAGAAGGGCGTTGAGTAGGAGGTCAAGCAGAGAAGGGAATGGATAAAGCGACGTCCATTTGCGGCAACGAGGACCACCGTACTGGAAGTCGTCGATGAGGGTTTCCCAGTCGAGAGGAGAGAGAGGCTTCAATGGTGGCGGAGTCGGCTTCTCTGCCATGATTTGTCACAGACGGACATCAATCAATTCTCAAATTATCTCAATAGCTCAGGCGAAAAAGATGCTTGAGATTCGTCGAAATCTCACATAACTGCTCTCCACAACAACTTCTGTTTTGTATTTCTTTGAATTGAAGATTCCTAAACACACCATCAAGAAAGACATTTTCTTGCTGAAACAGACTGCGAATTACAGTGCCTGGTAGCAATCACACAACATCAGATGGCTTCTAACAGGGTATGTTAATGGTATCGGGGAGAATGAGGGTAAAAAGGTAATACATGATTCAACAGACAACAGGCCGTGCTCATCAGGAGTGCTCAGCACTCAAAACGCTGCGTTTTGAGTGCTCAGCCGTTTTTTTTTTTTTTACTTTATACTACCTCAAATCATTAATATAAAAATATTTTGATATTAAATTTAGATTTAAATATAAGATTCTAATCTACTTTCTCTCTCATATATATTTATTTTTAATATAATCTTTATAATAATTGCACGTGTTAAAAATTTAATCAATTATTAGTAATTATAGCTAATACACATAATTAGTAAAAGGTATTTTAGAAAAAAACAACACTTATTTGTTACAAATGAGTAATTTAGCTAATTTTTTTAATACACTTGAATTAGTTAAACTAACCTTATATTAAGGATCAAAGGAAGTATGTATTAAAATAATTTTTTATTAACATTTATCTAGTACTCAAAAATATTTTTTTTAGATGTTTTCAATATCTTAAAGTATTTTATTATTCATTTAGTACCTTAAAATATTTTTTCACGTGTGTTTAATGTTTTAAAAAATTTTCTATTTCCTAATATTGTATCACAAAGTATTTTAAAATATTGAAAAATATTTCAGAATACTAGATAAATCATAAAAGACTTTAGAATACGAGACTCTAAAATATTTTTTAGGTAAGCCCATTCACAAAGTATTTTAGAATAATGAACACGTATGAAAAAATATTTTAGGGTACCAAATGGATCACAAAATACTTTAAAATACTGAATTCTTAAATATTTTTTCAAATGCATTGTTAGAAAATATTTTAGAACACTATATACATATGAGAAAATACTTCGGGATATAATAAAATATTTCAAAATATTGAATGTATCTAAAGAATATTTCAGAGTATTAGATAAACTTTAACTAAAAATAATTCTAATACATATATTTTTTTGTAGCGAAAAAAATTAAAAAAAAAATAAAGGTCCCTCATGCTCAACACTCAAAACGTCCACGTTTTGAGTGCTGAGCACTCCATGCTCATTAAGATGATGAGCACGGAATGCAGATCGTATAAATAGGCCTGTGCAGTATATTTCCAAACAATCCTTGCCCTTTTTGTTTGGCTAGTGGATAGAATCAAAATCATAATTTTAAAAGTGTTTTTACAGTATACAAAGTAAATATATAGAGGAGCTTATTTTGATTTATAAAAATATTTTTTAAAAATATTTTTCATAGTACCTAAATGCCTCTCCAAGGCATCAATATACAACCAACAAGGAAGGAAAAACATATGTCTACAATGACAAATTATGTCTCCACCAAGACGTCTAAACCAGATAAAGATGATTCCATCTTTGCATCAGTCTTACAACCCGTTTTTTTTTTTTTTCAGTTCTATAACCCTCTACTCTTAATTCTCTCAAATCTCCTTTTTTTTTTTGACCGGAGTCTCAAATCTCCTTTTCATTCTTACGTTTTCTTTCTTCATATGCTTTCAATGCATTAATTTGATTCTCTTCATCCCATTCAACAACGACACCGTCATTTTTAGATGACTCATTCTTCTTTGAATTAGTTTTATCTACCTTCAGCTCATCAACATTCTCTATATCTAAGAGTGCATCCTTTGATTACTGTCTCGGCCTTGTCATTCTCTTTCTTATCTGATTGTTGTCGCAAAAGCATCTTTCAACCATCTTGTGCATGAACATCAACAAGACAAATGGTGAAGAAAAGAGATCTTGGACCAAAGCCTCGAACCTTTGGCTTGACAAACAGTAATATATGATTTAATCCATATATATATATATATTATAAAACTCATCATTTCTGATGATTTTACATCTAAACATACATTTCAATCATTTCATCTAACCTTATTTTGATTTATCAAATTTACTTTTTCCTATAACAGCGTAACCAAACATATACCACATTGTATTAATTGATTTTTTTTTGGTGACATGTATTAATTGATCTTTATCCCGACTTCATATTGCAAAAATCAATTTGGGACAAAAGTCTCTTTTTACAAATTTTAATCCAGATGAGCATAAAGATGAATGAATGAATGAATGAATTAGAGATTTAGGGGTGCAATGCTGATGACGATAGGTCGAGTGACATGTTGTTGATAAAATCGGGGGTTTTGCGGGGAGCACAAAAACCATTTTTCTTCATTTATTTATTTTTTTGAGTATATGTTCTTGTTGTTTTTTTTATATTATTGTTTAAAATCTTTGATTCAAACATTGGCTACAATGACTCGCTTGCACAATTTTTTTACTAAGCTTGTGTATTCTTCTATTAAAAAAATCATAATCAAGATATTATTGGGTACTAAATATGAATATCTTTATACTGAGAATTTGAATCTTGATTTGCTATATAGACATATGGTATTGCAGGCTTCTATAAGGCCACGTTTGGTACGTGGCATTGGGAGCGAGGGACAGGGATTGGATCAGGGAATGAGACAATTTATGGTGTTTGGTACGTGGCATTGAGCAAGGCATGGGATTGCATAGTGCCTCACGGGTGGAATTGGACAAGCCCGCGCTCCCCCTAGTATTGCATTTTCAATCCTAGGATTGAATATTTTTAGGACAAAAACATCCTCATTATAATAATTTTCAGACAAGTTTAACCTTCTCACTTTCGCCCTAGTCTTCTCTTATGGTTTTGAACTTGCTGCTTGCTTTCCCTCTCCTCACTTTCTTACTCATTGGAAGGGGCATTATTGTCTTTCCATAACTTGGATCTGACTTTAAAATAAAAATTAATCGAGCCAATCCCTTCAAATATTACCTTGTACCAAATGTAAGTCTATAGCATCAATTCTCAGTCACATTTCCACTCCCATTCCCTGTCTTATTACCAATCCCAAACCCTCAAATTCATTGCTGCGTGCCAAAGATAACCTAAGGGTAGTTATTATGACGTGTGGGCCTATTGCTTGGTTTGGGCTCTTTTTAAACTAGGGTGACGGATCCACGACCTGGAGCTCTAAGTCCATGTTTGTTCATGGGCCGGGCTCACAACTGAGGATCATACGATGTCGTTGATTTGAAAACGTAGAATCCATACATTAATCAGACCTCTAGTCCACATATATCTACGCTACTTAATGGGTTTCAGTCCTAACTAATATTTGTTTTTGCTTGAATTACAATTTCAGGAGTAATAAATAATGAAGCCACTGTGGAAGGGGGGCTGATGTTCATGATCGAAGAAAGAATCTGAAAATTTTAAGGAAAATGGGAAAATTTGAGGCAAGAACCTAGATAGAATAGTATCTAAGGGAAATTGCAATCAAGTCCCAAGAAAAATATTTGATTACTCTAAAGTTCATTGACAATATGAAGAGCGTTCAATGACAAGTTCCAGCATAGAGAACAATAACTGATTTTTGTTGCTCACTTGTAATTGAGATTTTAACGTAATTGAATTCCTTCTTTAGGATCTAATTATAATTCTCTCTGATACGAAAATATCTTAACAGTTGTGATTATTTAGAATAACCAAAAACCAATTAGAAATTATAAATATATAAATGCTAAATTATCTCTAACCAGGCCTTTGCCTACTTTATCTATTAATATAAGTGAACAAATACAAATATTACCTCCAGTCCCAAATATAAAATAATTACAAATTAGATCTTATATATAGGGCTAGAGGAAGTACTAATATAAAAGAACAGTTTCTTATTGTTTATTCTCTTTCATATTCATCTATTAATATTTTTCTGCTAATTATATTAATTATAATTTATTTAATTTATTTTTAAAATAATATTTGTTTATTAAGATTTATTGAAATTCATTTTGAATTATTTTTATGATATATTGTAAAATAAACAATAAATATTTTAACTTAAAAAATTATTACTGTTATGTGATATACCATTTATTAAAACATACGTTAGTTTGCCTCTTCACTATAATAAAAAAAAGATATAAATAGTGCCTTGCTACTCTCTCTCTCTGCCATGAATAGTGCCTGTGTACCTAAAAAGGGGTTATGAATTAATCATATTATTTAGCCTCATGCTGAGGTATAAGGCATGACCTTATTTTAAATGATTTTGAATTTTTAAATCAATCATTTTTATTCAAATTATTGTGGCACTACATTGATATTAATAATATTCTATTATTAATTTTATTTATGTTATTACTCACAGTCTGATTTCTGATGATTCATATACAGTGTTTCCTATGAATCATTCTAGTGTAAATACATAATGATTTTAATTATAATTTGGTTGATTATTCAAAGACTAATTATTTTTTGACTCACCCTAAAATGATTATTTCAAAAATCTAAACTGACCAATGTTCCATTTAAATAATTTGAATTTTAATAATTCAATAAAAATCAGAAAAATAGGTCTAGCCTGTTGAATCGACCTGTTTAGCTTTAAAAATAATAAGAGTTTTGGAATAAGCGGGCTTTTGAAACAGAAAAAATCACAAAAAAGACCGTTAAAATTAAAAAATTGCACACAATACCTATTCATAAGAATTATTGTCAAAATCCATACTATTTTTTTGTTAAAACACATACTAATATTGTAATGGGTCTCTATTTATATTTTTTTCTATTTTGGCAGTCTTTTTCTGCTATTTTTCTTTTTTTGAAACCCCTATTCTTAAACTTGAGCTCCTTAAATGTCAATCCTTCATGATTAATTTTCAATCCATTTAATTTAAGTCCATAAACTTTTTAGGAAACCTATTAGAATATCCAAATAAAAGTAGACCCATTAAGAAAAGTTCTCTTTAAAAGGCTTCAAAATATTCCATCAAGTCATCATATGGAGCTCTTGCTTTCTTGGATGTATTCCTTTCTAATAATAAGAAACAAGTAAATGGCGAGTTACAATTTGATGCTTAGTATTCCCTCCCTCCCTTTTTATATAAAAACATTTGACCCAATCAATTGATCAGAA